TGTGTGTGTGTTCTTCTACCTAGTCTCACATTGCATGCACGAATAGAAATTACACACTCAGTATGTCACTGTTTATGACACAGCTGATGTGCAACAGCAAGGCTCCAAGGAAGAGGCCATCTGCCATTAAATACCTACTATTTATGTGTTGCATTATGGAGTAAGGACTTTTTTTTATGTTTTTCATAAGTAAAGAAGTGTACTACTGGATATAAACTGTACTATGTTATTACTGTACTCACAAAAACAGTTTTGTTAAAATATTTAATTTGCTGTGATGTTATATGAAAGTGTTATATTTCTTGATCTTGAAAAGTATTAGTGCTACTTGTTAGAAAATAATTTTTTGTCATGTCCCACTAGTATTTAACTATTAAGGGAGATTCACTTTCCTTGGGTATTGATAACCTCTTTCTTGGCCATCATTCACAATCAATTTCACCATCTATTATAATAGTCCTTTTCAGACACCTTCAATCTTATATTCCAAGATAACTCTTGAGCCCATCTCAACACTCCCCCTTCAGGTAGGGGAGCCATCTCCTTCCTCCTCTTATTTGCACTTTTCAGAAAAATGAGAGGAATGGAAGAAAGAGGGTTCAAGGACGAGTTGTTCAGAGAGTCCCATCATGCCACAACCAATATGCAAACATTAATGCCCGAGGTGGATTTCAAACTCGCACCCTTGAAGCCAAGGTTCTCTAAAAGGAGGTCATAGGATCCCTCTTACTCAGGTCGGTCATACATTCTTTATATGAATTATGAAATAGAAAAATCTCACTTCTCCTTTCAAAACAATTTTGCAGAAGGCACAAGAAACTGATTATTTTAAGTGATGAGGCCTAGTGGGCAATTTTTTCTTTACATTTGTTTGACAACCGAGGAACCAATGAGTAATATACAAAATAAAGGTTTCATTAAAAGTAAATTATTTTGAATTCTATAGACATTTGGAGATTTATTAAATGCATCACAAAACAATGACAAGCTAATTGTAATATGTTTATTCTCATGAAACCAATTTCAAACCAAGCTAATTTCCACATATAGGGAAATAAGTATTATTAAATAGATTTGTTTTTATAAAGAATAACTGCCAAAAATGAAATACACATTTCATTTTGGTGTTTGTGCTCTTCTACAATTTTTATTGAATTAATATGAATTTATTTGTCACATTTTCTTCTTCTAATTCTTCACAATAAAATTCATTATTTCATCTCAGTGTAAATTAGACAATTTACGATCAAAAATTCTCTGATGCTCTTTTTAAATCACTACCACAAAAATGTATATCCTTTTATTGGGGAATGATGGATGCTCTCAAATTACCACCGTGCTATTAACATGAAAAACGACCTTTTACAGAGAAAAAGATTTGACTTCTTTTTGAACTATTAATTCTGTTTCTACCATCCTTTCAGCACTGACATTGAGACTAGGATATTTTGTTTACTGAGATTTCTTTTTACTTTCAGTAAGTATCGGAGGTAAACCTACCAGAACCTTTCATTGCTACATTCTCTTACACAAGACACAATTTTTACATTTAAGCTGCACGCTCCATAGTTGCAGATAGTCAACACCAAGCAAAACAGTAGAGAAATTCCACAAGTTGACGATTCACAATTGAATCTCTCCTGGACACGTTTACAAGGGGTTCACGGGATATTTCAATTTCACTGGAATTGCACCCTTCTATAAAAGCCATAAATGAAGGTAATTTAAAAGGAGAGATTTTTCTTTCAATATATGAGTCTTATACACGCAACTCCTTTTTGCAATAAAACAATTTTTTTAAAGAAAGTGGACCAGTGAAGATTTCTCAAATTCATGATACATATCAGAACGTTTTCTATATATAAATAATCAGACATTCTACTCATAAAAACATGTTAATCATTACACAGAATTGTAATTTACTTACCGAGAGCTCTGGATGCCCGCAAATTTGGGAAATGCTGAAGTAGTTCATTATGAGAAGAGGGTTTAGATGTATTTGCATTGAGACGTTGATGTTTTCTATACCTCTACAAGAAAATATAATAACATAATATATTACAATGAATAAAAAATAAACAAGGAGAAGTACACTAAGCAAAAGGAACTTTATTAGAAGATGCTACACTAGCATGAATCACATTACATTCTACTTCTTATTACTGGAGTAAATGGTTCAGAGAACAATAATCCAAAGGAGAATAATTAAGTTTATCAGTGAAGTGATATAACATCAAATTACTCGCAAATCTTAATAAAGTTTAAAATGTGAACAAAAAGAAATATAATTACCCGAGCAATTTTCTTTATATACACATCGAAATGCTGCAATCTAATTTCTGGGAGATGTGGAGAACATGCAACATCAGATTTTTCTACAAAGCTATCACCCCAGACTTTGGTGAAGAAATCTCTCTGTTGATAAATAATACAAGACAACAAAAAAACAAAACATTAATACACGAAAGAACATCATAAAATATAGAAAATATATCAAGTAATAAGAAAATATTATGTAGACAAAAATGAGGTATAGCTAATTCCCACATTTTCAATACGATTTTTCTTAAAGCAAGAGTAGAATAAAACCTTACATTAATATACCAAGTGGGAAATTTGAGACTTACTATCATGACACATATCTTACTGACATACCTGTTTTCCTCTATTGGGGTCATTTAGAACAGCTGAAAGATTTTGTGAAGCTGAATATACCGTCCATCTTTGCCCATCAGCAACAACATTAGGTTGATGGTCCCCACTCAGGTGACTCACAGCCAACAACTGATGACGGTCTCTATGTCGACTCACAGCACCACTACTTGCACTACCCATATGTACAAATACGTGATGCTTATACACATGTTCTTCATAATCTTCATCACTCACACCTTCAACAGGTAGTGATGAGCAAACACCATTGTAGCCGTACCGACAAACAAATGATCCACCTTCTTGTGTACAGTGCCGCTCCCTCAAGTGCCTAAAGACAATAGAGTTAGTACATAAGTTTTGAAGAAATAGAAAATAAGATTATCAGATAAAAGTAACATTTTGATGACTGAACTTACTCATTTATTTGAGGAATATTTATAGAGTAATTGTAATTAAAAGATACTGACAAACAGTAATCATACTACTGACTACATTGTCATTACACAGAATTCATGCCATACATCATTAAAAAGAATTGAAATTTTAACTGAATAAAAAAAATAAAAGAATATGATAACTGGTACATGTTTAAAGAGGTGAGGGTTTTGAATTGCTTAGCAAATATGAGTTCCGTTTGTCATAAGGAAGAATAATTTTGTACTTTCATTTCCTTCCATACAATGACATAAGTTTCTACATTTGCCAATTGACATTTTTTATTTTTTTTTAAAGAACTGTAACGGAGCAAATTGCGAGTATGTCAAATGTGCAAATTAAGTATATGTCATCCTTTAGAGCTCATTACTGATCATCCGCATTGATTATAAAATTAGAACCTCATTAAGTTGCTAAGCCATTTAATAAAAAGAAAGGTATCAGGTGAAGGTATTCCTTAAAGCAGGTGAAATTTAGAAGCATTTACACAGTACAATAGAGATAAATGTAGAATATGCGACAATGTAAATTAGAGAAATTCAGTTATTCTAGGTAACAACATGCATTTCCAAAAGTTAGAATAACCAATCAAGAATGAAATGTCACGCTCAGAACATTGGATCTTACCGAATAAAATCGTGTTGCCCTTTAAATTCAACATGATTACAATACAAGCAGCTGCTCCATCCATGTTTTGAATCTCCCTGACGCAACACTTTCGCCATACTACATTAAATATTTACAAAAACAATAATACAATTCCCTGATAATTCTATATTGTGTCTTCGATGACATTGCCGAAGTAACATAAATATACAATTAAATAGTAAAAAGTGAGCTTTACAAAATTCCATCATGATTCTACACTCTCGTTCGACGTAATATATGACATTAAAACGATATCTAAAAAACATAATATATACATTATAAACATAAAACTTTTACACGATTTTGAGAAAATATATTTTTCTTGACCACTGTGCCCACTGACACATGATGCCAACGTATCAGCTGCACAAGGCAGGTTTCTCGATGGCAAACGCCATCTCACTCCCTTGAGTGTGCTGCCACCTGCTGCCGAAGTAAGAACAAGTGACTGTCATTTGCCACGCAATACTACGCGCAGCATTTAAACTTCAAAATTATTGTCCCTATTTCAAACTGTAAGTTTTTCAATCAATACAAAATAAAGAAAAAAATATGTGAAAAATACCCTCCTTTATAAGTTAAAAGTAGAATTATTGCATCACTTCGTGAATTAGATGACAAAATTAGCTATATAACTTAATAAATTCATTGGTGTTTTACGATTTAATGGAGTTCTTATTGTTCTTATTCTTAAATACTAAAATACACTTCCAGAATATTCAGATTTAATATATCCAGGAAAAAGTCACAAAATAATAAACAATTGGCTTTTGAGGATGGTTGTCGCTTCAATTCACATCCCCAATTACTTTATGACAGATTTTTAAAGTGCTGCTTTATTTTGGAAATAGGACTGTTAACTTCCATTTGCTAAAATATTCAGTCTGAACGGTTATTAGAAAACACACTAGTGTAATAAAACTACTAGTATATTTGTATTACCTTGAATTGAACACATTTTAAGCTGTTTTGTGATTTTGCAAACGGCTTTATTTTGCGGTGTGCTTTACCAAATTCAGTTACCAGTAATATGTTTTACCAACTAGATTCTTTCATTTTTATGAACATTTAGCTAACTATTGCAATATTACACTGCATTACTTCAAAATAATGCATTGCAATAATAAAATGCATAATGTCCAGGTCCGAAAGCAAGCTGTGAGGGAGAAGGGATTATGTTATGACGTCCTAGACTGGAGGCGTAATATTAGACTGCCATGACGTTTTCGGCTGGAGGCGCGCGCTGCCGTTCGAAGTCGGGCAGTCGCGTATTGGAGCCGGGTCGAGCAACTATCGTGCTTTTCCCCTTGTCGCAAGGTGGAATTACTAACATGAAATGAGTTGTACGAGTGACTTAGTACTTCTTATAAAAATAATTGTATGATAATTCATGCATTTTCGTTAATAAAGTTTTGAATCATGAAAAGTGACAATAGTACGGAAGTGGCTCGAAAGCAGCGCGACTGGACACAACTGAAGAGGGCTCTCGGCCACATAGGTCTTCTCATTGCACTTACGGCGTATACCGTCTTAGGTGGGCAGGTAAGTTACAAATAGAAATACCTGATTATCGATGTAAAACATTTTAAAGAGATTAAAATATTTAAGAATTATCTGATTAAAGATGCAATGAATTTAAGAATAAAATGTGTATTACCGTTGGAATAAAGTAAAAAAAATACATTATTTTACGCATTTCCATTGCGTAGGCATTTCTCATCAAATCCCGAAGCTTGAGTTTGGTTTGTAAGTAACGTTTTAACGTAAAACATTTTTTAGTAGAAATTCAAAGTTTAACTAAGTGCGGACTCTTTAAAAGTAATAGTCATCAATTATAGTTTTTATTATGTATGAAGAAACGGGTTTAAAAAATTAAGAAGTGAGGGAATGATTTTTAATATCACAATAAAAAATTAGAATGTAAGTATTACTAATTTCGAATTTACGTATAATTGAAAGAAAATTACCCAGCGTGGGGCCACGTAGGAGGTGTTAATGGTTTCGTTAGATACCCAGAATTTCTGGAAAAAGTCCGAAAGTAATGAAAGAGTAAGCTTTTCGCCTGAAAATGCAAATATTTGATTATGTAATTCCACATATTCTCATAATGCGCGAACTGACTGAATTCTCGTACTGAGCATCTCACTACGGCACAGCTGATGCCTTGCGACGAGGAGAAAGAAGCTTCAGTTTACACGTGTGCCGTTTCAGAACAGCTACTTTTGCTGGTTCAGGACCCCAATTTCCACACTCAATAGCAGCGTTTTTGCTGCTGCTGCGCATGATTGTAAAGAGACATTTGAGAGCTGAAGTATCTTATTATTACGATAAAGAATTATCGTAACACAAATCTGTGCACTTAAAAATAAGGAAACAATATTACATCTTTGATATATATGTATCAATCTTTAATAATCACAGTTAATGTTTGGTATTTTAAATCAAATTCTCAATAATTGAAACTTAATTTAACATCTTAATTAATTAATTATAGAATCATCTCATACTAGTCTTTAACTCTCTTGATAGTAGGCTACACAGCCGAAAAGTATTTTTATCGTCACAACTTCAGAAACCTGAACATTCTTCAACAGCGTAAATACTTCGACTAAAAGGGATACAGAATTTGTATTTTTAACGTTGAGTCTTAAATATATTTTACTGTATTTGTCCATTAACTTTATCGCATTCTTAACTTTTTCCTCAAATTTGTAATCTTAGCGAACAAAAGAAGTCGGCAGCCTTCACATTTGGCGTCTATTAAAAGCAGCTGAAGACTGCGATCTTTGATGCACATATTGTATTGAACTACGTGGGGGGGGGG